TCATTACACACTGAGCGGCACGGATTTGCATAATAATGTGCTTTCCACCTAGAAGCAACCAAACTCATTTTCCAAGATGAAGAGGAAGCCAAACGGGGGAAACATACAGTCGGGACTCACCTTTAGTCCCTGGAAGAGAGGTGTGAAAGAGGAAAACGGGGGTCAAAATAACCAGATGACAGAACTCTGGCCTCACACAGCTGAGCAGACCAGCTTTCCAGTCACCTTTTGGCCTCCAATAGCAAACTGCCTGCTACCATGTACAGACTCTCCGGGCTGACAGATCCCAGACTGACCACAGAACTTCCACCCAGCCTCCACTCAGCACTCCAATGCCTTTCCCATGGCTTATCACATGTCTTAAATGTGGGTACTGGGGTACAGAGGAGCCACAGCCTTTGTTCCTTTGTGTGAGTCCATGAAAATCGGTGAGGAAGGCTGCCCCCTTGTGTTCAGCCGTGAAGCTGCAGCCCTTGTTAGAAAGGGCTCCAGCTACCTTTTGTCATCCAGGGACAGACTCCGGGAGCAGGCAGCTGGCTCCACCTCTGTGAGCCAAAGAACCAAGACAGTGTCAATGAGGACCTTCCCCTGGGCTTTCCAACCTGCCAGAGCGGGAGCGGGCGGCGCTCAACCTCCCGGAGGCACCACCACGCGGACCTTCGGCAGCCAACTGGAACTGTTGTAAAGCTGCCCACGGTGTGTGGAGCTCTCTGGAGAGAGGAGATTCCTACATGGCTGTCTGAATGTCACCTACAACAACCTACAGATAGATGTCAGGGCCGAGAGGGCACGGATACATCTAAGCCACTTAGAAAAGAGGGGCGGAGGGTGGGGAGAGGAAGAGATGAGCAGTAGAGAAAACAGGGCCAACCTCCAGGGAGGGGAGTCGAAGGACTCACTAGATCTTACTCCACACGATGCAGACCTGGTCAAAACATCTCAGGGAAGAGCTGTGCCCGTGCATTCCTGGGGCTCAAGTTCAGGGCCTGGGCGCTGTCCTTGAGCTTTTGTGCTCAAGGCTAGCACTCTACCACTTGAGCCACAGCCCCACGCCCAGTTTTTGGTGGTTAGTAGGAGATAAGAGACCCTTGGACTTCGCTACCTGGGCTGGCTTTGAATGGCAATCCTCAGGTGCCAGGATCATATGTGTGAGCCACCAATGCCCGGCTGGTTACTTAACTTAAAAATTATTATTTTCTCTTTTCTCTTGAACTATTAAAATTATGGGGCTGGGCAGGTGGCTCAGTGGTAGAGTGCTTGCCCTGCATGCATGAGGCCCTGGCTTCGATTCCTCAGCACCACATAAGCAGAAAAAGCTAAAAGTAGAGCTGTGGCTCAAACCTTGAGCTCAAGAGCTGAGGGACAGCGCCCAGGCCCAGAGTTCAGGCCCCATGACTGACAAATAAATAAATAAGTATATTGGGGGAGGGGGGGGAACTAGCAAAACTGTTAGCTTTTTGTGGATTTTGTGGATTAAAATACTGTCTCCAGGGGCTGGGCTGTAGCTCAATGGCAAAGGGCTTGCCTAGCAAGTTCAACATCCTGGGTTCGATCCCCAGTACCAAAAAAGAAAAAAAACAAAACAAAACAAAACAAAATACTGTCTGCAGGGGAAAATAACACACATTTAAAATAAATTCTCTAGTAAATAAACTAAACATTAGTAAAGCACCCATCTTAAGGGCCATGCACTGCTGAGATTTCACTCCAGAATAAATTATGTCAAATTTGCCAGTAAGACCCTTCGGAGTCTCTCCTCCTAGGTCATCCACATGCATAAGGGCTTCCCTGTTCCATGCTCACACCCACACTGATGACCAACACTGAATTATTATCAGCCCAACCACCTAGCCAGGCGAACTCAAATCCACTCACTAAAACACACATTAATATTTATCATTCCCCGCATGCTGTGAAAAGAGGAATGCATGTCCTCTCATGTCCGTGAAGGTTCAGCCATATGGAAGAGATCTAAACATAGGTATGAAAAGGCTAAAGATTTGGATCCTAATTGAATGTCCCCTCACATTTTCGCAGAAGCCAGTAGCAAACACATATTCTCAGATATTCCCAGTCAGAATTCAACAAAAGGCTATTGTGTGTGAAGCACAGAGAAGTCTCCAGTCACATCCAAACATCAGGTTGGCATTAGGTGATTTTAAACTTTAAATCAACTATTTCCAGACCACAAAGTCCATTCCATACTTATCACTACACAGGAGTTCTCCACATGAGTTACAGCTGTGTTCAGATGTGAAGCCTGCATTTCTCAGGACACCAGACTGTCCAAGAATGCCATGTAAAGTTCTCATTTCCTCTGCAACGATTCGTTTTCCATTTGCACTGGGTAAAGCTGTTTCTGATGAAAAGCATACGGGTATCAGCCCTGCTACTTTCTTCCGAGCTGGCCGCGCTGGCCGCGGTCCCTGTGCACACCTCTGCCTCACGCTGTGCTGCGTGTCCCGGACACAGGAAGTCCCGTGTGATGGGTGCGTGGCTGCTCCAAACCCCACCAAAAGGCCTGAGTCTGGGCCAGTCACAGGGACTCACTCCCGGGGGGCACCCCGGCCCCAGCGTGGGCGCCAACCTGCCAACCTGCCAACGCTGACACCAGGCTGGAAGGAAGGCCTCAGTTCCATTCCTAACCAGGGTCCCAAGAAGTAGCATCAACCTCCTGCCACTACAGTAAAGACCTTGGAAGATTCCAGACTCCAGCTCCCCTCATCAGACGCCACAGGAACAGAGACAGCTCTTCATCTTCAGTTTAGGCCCAGTGGTTTGCCCTGCAGAGGTCAGGTTCACCGGCCAGAACCCTGCGAATGGCAGGTGGGACCCCAGCACTCACCGTCCTTTCCGGGTGCTGGCCTGCCTCAGGGCTCCTTCTTGCCAGCTCTTAACACCAAACTCCCTGTCCCTTCTATCTGTCTTAAACCTATTGCTAGCTTTGACAAAAGCGTGGCTTAATAAGTATTTGCTGCTCATAACTTGCTGTTAGCATAGTGTCCACAATTTCAATCAATGAACAAGTGAAAGGTGCCAGGCAGCACTAGTCTACTGCTCAGAGCTGGCGGCTGGTTTGAGATCGTCTGACAACAACAGGGACGTGAGCTGTCAGTGCAGCCAAGCAATAATCTTGAGGCAGTTACTGGTCCCTGAGTGAACACTAGGGTACAAATCCTTCATTGCTGAGGCACACTTTCCATTAAGAAATAGAAGCCTGAAGAGTTAAAAGCTTAGATGGGAGTGGCCAGGGTGGCCTTACCTTCTTTAACGTTAAACTCACAGACCTCTGGGTTCTTGCCGTTAATGTGAACACAGGGCTGGATCGCCCCAAGGTGGGAGAGGGTCGTGGAGGGGATGGCAGGCAGAGTGGACTGGCTCTCTGCTAAGCACATCCACATCCCAATACACCTCATCTGAAGCAGTGCAGACAGCAAGGCCTGACATACCTGGCCAGAACTGCAAAACCACAAACACACACACAAGTCCTCAAGAGGGCACGTGCACGTGTGCAGGCCCCGTGTGCCCTCTTCCTGTGCACCATGCAGATGCAGTCCCTGGACACTCAAGCGTCCACTCTAGTCCCACGGGGACAACAGTGCCAGGCTGAGGGTTAAAGCCCTCTGGTGACGTGGGACAGCCATCAGTGAGACCCTGGGCTTCCTGCGGAGTGAAGCCCAGACCCCATAGTCCAGTGTTCATCTCCTTGCCGCCATAAGTTTTACAGGAGATACCTGGCCTTTGCTCCTCGGCCCCCTGTGTCTGTCCACCTCATTCTCACCTGGTGAATGTGTTTAGTTACTCTCACCCAGTGCCCACTACTTTCACTCGAGCTGACGGCGCAGCCAAGGCTACCTGGAGAGGCAGATGAGAAAGAAGTGATTGTTATCCTTACCTAACTCTAGAGACTGACGGGTCCTGCAACCTCGAGTACCAACATGAACAGGGGGCCCTGACTGGAGGACACACAATGAAAATCACCCTCTCATAACTCTCCATCCTGTCGGGGTCTTCCCTGCCGTCCTCCATCAAGCAACTAACCAGACCGAGCCTGCGTAGCGCAGTGTCCCAAGGAGGGCTGATGTGTGTTCCAATCTCCCAGTGGCCTTCCTGATAAAGCTACCGGCGGCACTCATAAAGGAAACCACTTGTTAAGGTTCAGGAGAGATTTCCAAAGGGGTGGAAAGAATAGATCACCCTGAAAAGAAGCTAGAAATTCTAGTGATCTCAAGCCGATTATTTTTTTCAATTTTATGAATTTAAAAATAAAGAATGTATCTCTGCAGGATGGTTATAAAATGCTTTGGCAAACTTCTGTAAGGGCTACAAATTCCAGACAAACCCCTAGATATTCTAGGCCAATAGCCTAGACCTCTTCTAAAAATCTGAAGAGAATTTCCAGCCCAAGCAATCACTAAACCATTTTCAAGGTGCAAGTTTTTCAAGGGGTTTAAAGGACAGGACACAGCAAGATAATGTATGCCCCAGAGCCTGACTCCAGAAAGGAACGTCTTAATCTGAATCTCTGGGGTAGCACTAAGCCCCTTCAAGAGAGGCAGAAATCAAGTAAGCAATAACTACTAAGGAGACAAGGAAAAATATTCATAGAAAAAAACGAATAGCTGATAAGAAACTGCTGATAGGAAGGCAATACTTAAAAGACTTAAAAGCATGGGGGGAAAGCAGTAAGCTAAACACATTTCTGCACTACAATAGTTTCTTAAAATTTGGGACCAAAAATGTCTTAGTCATCTGAGAGACTTTGTATGAGGAATTCCCCCTCTTTTTCCTAAACAAATGGAGCCTGTGAGGCCGGAGCATTAGCGAGTCACCACAGCAGTAGAGCGAGTACAGAATAGGAAGTAACAGATTCGCATGCTGATTACTCAAACACAAGAGATGAGAAAAAATGGCCAAGTTACCGCCTTCAACAATCCCCCAAATTTCTAGAGGCACACTGGGTAAGCTGGGCATACGCGGACGCGACCCGGATCACCTACCGAGCACGTTCCCGGGGGGCACCTCCTCCAGTTCCTCCAGCTCCCGACCCATGAGGAGATACAGGCTCTCCAGCACACAGCACTCCATGTGAGGGACTGGAGGGAGGTCATCCAGCGGCGCAGAGAAGCCAGACGGCACCTGGGCAAAGGAAGATGATGCAGGATAAGCAGGAGGTGCTCATTCATTAGTATGCACAGTTATTTTTATTTATCAGTAATGAGGCTCAGCCCCTTTGCATGTGAAACTGAAATGTGATTTGAAATGCCTCACTCTGTGAAGAAAATCTGCAATACTAAAACCTCTAATTTTTTTTAAAAAAGGACTCATGTACTGGCACTTTCCTAACGCTACCAAGGGAGCTATGTACACTATCCACAGCAACACCCCTGGAGTTCACAACCTGGAGAGTCACATCTGGAGGTCACGCCTAGAGATTTCACACCTGGCGACTCACACCTAGAGATTCACAACTCAGGTTTACACCTGTGATTCACATCTAGGGGTTCTCATACCTAGAGATTCACACCTCAGGGTTCATACCTAGAAGTTCACATCTGGAAGTTGACACCTAGAGAGTCACACCTCAGGATTCACACTGGGAGTTCATACCTCGGGGCTCACACATGGAGATTCATACTTGGGGATTCACACCAAAGGTTTCATACTGGAGATTAACATCTGTGGCTCCAAACCTGGGACTCATATCTGGGAGTTCACACCTAGAGATTCACACCACAGGTTCACACCTGTGACTCACATTGAGGGGTTCACACCTGGAGATTCATACTTGGGAGTTTACACCTGGAGCCCCAAACCCAAAAACTTATACCCGGGGATTCACACCTAAGGTTCCATACTGGAGATTCACATCTGAGGGTTCACACCTGGGGATTCACATCTGGGAGTTCACACCTGGGGGTTCACCAACCATCTACTTACTGCACAGCCGCTATGAAAAATCATCACAAACAGCACTCTAACATTTAACTTCTAATTCTTACCCGTTGCAAAAATTCAAGAGGACTGTACTTGGGCCCCAAAACAAAAATCTTCTTTCCCTTTCGAGCCACGCCACTGAACACTCGAGCAAATGCAATGAAAGACTCCTGGCTGGGTTCTTCCTGGGGCAGCGGGGTGGGAGCCACACTTTCCACTTCCTGCTCATCACCTGCCAGAAGCAGAGGGATAGTAAGTGCCCAGAACATCATCATCACGCAGGACTGCCGGGGACAGTGGGGACAATGAAGGTGTCTGCTTCAGTTACACGAACGCGAGCGGCACCAAGAATGAAAAGAAAAACTGACAAAAACCACGATGAAGCTCAAGGATGGAAAGTCAGGTTTCTGCCCGAGGCCTGTGCAGGAACGCTGTACCTTTTGGCTCCTGCTCCTGTGGGCTCGTCTGAAGGGTGCTCCCGTCGGGGCTGGCCTCTGCGGGTGCCAGGCCCTGTGCAGCTGTGAGTCGCTCTGCATGCCTTTTCCTTGCACGCTCCCGTCTCTGAGCAATCTCTTCTTGTGTGAGAGGCCTACAGGACATCAACAGGCAACTTCAGAAGAGAGGGGACAGCCAGGCCTGGTGTAGCTGGATGAGACGCAGATTAGCCCCAACTGCCTCCCAAGCAGAGGCTTCTCCAAGGCTCTCCCTGGGGGGAGCAGACAAGAGCCGGCCCATCAGGTTCTTTTTGACAATGGCTCTCCAAGTAGAGCCAAGTGCAAGAACAGGGCACCTTCTCAGATGCCCAAAGTTCTTCAGAGTTAAGAGACCAGGGGGAAGGAAGGGAATGTATAACCAATACCAAGGCTTGGAATACTACATAAAAGGCCTCAATAAGAAATTGGCATTTTTTTCTCCCTTAAGTTTGTGGAGAATGGCAGTTAGAAGAAAGGGTAGAAGGTGAGGCTGAGTCGGTGTTAGGTTCACAAGTGCTCAAGCCGACAAGGCTAGCTGCAGGTGGGCATGTGTGTCTGCGGGGTGGTCAGCTGCATCCATGTTTCCTCCACCTCCTCCCCCCCGGGCTTAACACTGCAGCTGTTCCTTCAAGTAATCCTGAGGCAGCTTTCCACATGTCTGGATTCTTGCTAAACACCCAAGAGAGGCTGGGTGCCAGTAGCTCACGCCTGTGATCCTAGCTACTCAGGAGGCTGAGATCTGAGGATCACAGTTCAAAGCCAGCCCGGGAAGGAAAGGCTGTGAGACTCTAATCTCCAATAAACCACTCAGAAAAACAGGAGTGGTGCTGTGGCTCAAGTGGTAGAGCACTTGCCTTGAGCTGAAGAGCTGAGGGACAGTGCCCGGGCCCAGAGTTCAAGCCCCACAACTGACTGAAAAAAAAAAAAAAACCCACAACAAAAAACAAAAAACAACCCAAGATAGTATCTGCAAGGGTGGGCTGTGTTGCTACCTTGTGCCTTCCAGCACATGATCACCATAGTGAAATGAGCTACACAAAGCCCTGTGTCACACACAGGAAGATGGAGACATGAAAATTTTTTTTTTGGGGGGGGGGGAGGGGAAGTCAGTCATGGGGCCTGAACTCTGGGCCTGGGCGCTGTCCCTCAGCTCTTCAGCTCAAGGCTAGCGCTCTACCACTTGAGCCACAGTGCCACTTTTGGCTCTTTCTGCTTATGTGGTGCTGAGGAATCGAACCCAGGGCCTCATGCATGCGAGGGAAGCGCTCTACCACTGAGCCACCTTCCCAGCCTGAGACATGGAAAATTTAAGTCATTTGACCCAAACTTACACAACACAGATATCAAATGGAGGAGCTAAACTCAACTCCATAGCATTCTAGCTCAGACTCTCTCTGTTCCTTATTACCAATTCCACAGGAGATTACTAAGACTTAAACTAGTCGAGGAGTCAGAAGAGATGAGAAGGAGGATTCATATAAAAGACAGGTGATTCAGGGTTCAGAAAGCTCTCAATCAAGACTTTGGACTGTGAGAAGTAATCCCTCTCCACACCTACCACATATGCCTTCACAATATACCCAGAAAGGCAGAGGTTACCAGACACTCCCAATCTCACTGGGGCAGAAGGAGAGGAGACAGGGGTCTGGCTGCCTCTTTCTGGGCCTGTTCTGTTACGGCCAGCTGTTGTTATACCACTACTGCCGTTCTTCAGGTTTACATCGGCTCAAGTGGGCAACCCAGGGGTGGTTTCAGCAGCTGTCTCCTATACACAGCGCAACTCCAAGGACCGGGACTATTTCCAGCTGCTGTTGCCCCGAGAAGGGGCTCCATCTCAAAGCTGGGAGTGGGGAGGCATGGTCTGTGCCCCCCTGCTCCTCCAACGCACCCAGTGCCCAGCCCAGCCCAGCACCCCCTCTGCCTTACCTGGGCTTATTCTGAGGCAAGGCCTTGGCATCCACGGCAAACATTTTGGAAACAAAGATAATGACGGGAGCCGTGTCCTCACTCCCACAGCTCATAAAAGCTAAACAAACAGCAGGGAAATACGTCATTATTGTTTCCCATTTTCAAAACCCCAGATTTTCTGGAAAGCAATTAAGATGTTTAGAATACAGCATCACCTGAATATGGGACTTTTTACAACTATGATAAACTTCCATCTGAAAATACTGCGAGGAAAGAACAGGAGAGAAAGAGCAAGAGAGTAGAAAGAAATGAAAGAGAACAAAGCTGATATGGCTGGGGCTCTGACATCAGAGCTATCGCTATGGAATGGGGTGAGCCCCAGTGAATGTTTCCCTATTTCTAGAAAGAACAGATACAATTATGGGATGTTATCAAAGGTCAAGAGTCAATGAAGTAGTTAAACAAAAATCAACAGTTTTTCCAATCGCTCAAAATAGCAAGTTAAAAAAGAAAAACAAAATTAATATGTCACAATAGTAACAAAATGTTTTAGGAATAAATTTAAAGATTCAGTACTATAAAGATGTCAACTCTCTCTAAATATATATTTTAATACATGTTTATAACAACACGGTGCCTTTTTTTTTTTAGGTATACTGAAAGCATAAAGCCACGGGCTAGTCACTTTTTTAAAAACTCCAGATCAAAACAATTTGTACACACACACACACACAAAACACAGCCAAAAAAAAAAAAAAAATTAAGAAATGCCCTACAGGAAATAAGCTTTGCCAGGAAACCTCTGGAAGGTTCCGAGGACTGGTGTGACATGCCCTATCTCATGTTAACAAGATCACTTTGCTGCAGTACAGACAAAACGCCAAGGAAAGCACGAGCAGAAGCTGGGGAGTCAGAACGTATTACGGCAGCCAGGTGACAGGGGACAGTTACTTGGCTCGGGGAGCAGAAGTGGGAATGCTGGAATATAACTGGATCTCGGATATTTTTCAAAGGAAGGACAGACAGGCTTTGCTGACAGACAGGCAGGAATGTGAGGTGTGCCGCAGCTGACACCAGTACTTCTGAGATGGAAGAGGAGGCTCTGTGCCAGGTCAGAAGGACAAGGTCACTTTGGAATACTTAAGTTTGAAGCATTTCTTAGATTGGGCTGAGGGGAGAGGGGGGAGGAAGCAAACTGGACACAGGGGCGGCATTCACAGAATGCCACTGTCTGCGCATTGCACGCAGAGATGTGGGAAATGATGAGCATATGAATATCCACTCAATTCTCGAGACTGGATGGACTCACAAAGGACTGACTGTAGAGAAAGCAAGTGAGGTCCAAAGACAGAGTGGCTCCTGCAGAAATCCCAAAGTTCAAAGGCAGGCAGAGAGAGGAGGTATAAAAGACTCACAACCAAAAGAGATAAAGGAGACGGAGAAAAGCATGCAGAGGTGACTGACTGGTGACAAGGAATGCTGAGATGATGGAGAACCTGCCGTTAGCATTAACAGTGACAGTCACTAGTGACCAAGAATGGCAGGGGAGTAGCTCGGGTGTGGAGGTTGCAAATTCAACAGAATGGGAAGAAAAGAACTGTGGAGTGACCATACACAGCACGCAGAGCCCGGGACGGGGCATCTGCTGCGCAGCGCCGCTCCTGGCCTGTCCTTCCTGCCCCTGAGGACACAGCCACAGTCGTGTCGCACACTTCAGGGAAGCCATTCCTAAGTACGAAACGAGATTAGCACAAAAATGGGTTGGTCACCCACCCAGTGGCTGAGTAACAGGCTGGGTGAACAAAACCTTTGGTGGTGGTGGTAGGGAGCTGGTGAAATGGCCGTCTGTGAAATTGTCTATTTGTGGATTTAGACACGTGGCAAAAGCCCTTTTGCAACTCGTGTGGCTTTGAGTCAGCGAGTTGGTGTGGAGCAGCCTGCGGTTGAGGACAGTCAAGACACGGGTCACTCTGCATGTTCATCGCCATCTCACCTGCTTTCAGGGCTTGGGTTTCAGGCGGAAGGGAGTCAAACGTCTGTGATCCCGCACACATCAGCCTCTCCACTCTCTCTGATGTAATCTCCAGAGGACTGGGCAGCTTCTGACACACCATAGCTGAAGCCTGTCGTTAAGGACAAACACAGAGCCGGTGCCTTCACCAGGACAGCAGACCCACCAAGTGCTCCACACTGAGGCAGCAGTGGACACTCACACGGGTAAAGCCTGGGCTGGAAGGCGGCCACCCACACTCTCAGGGAGCTTAGGAACCACAGCTCAGGACAGACAGCTTCACTAACAACCCATGGAAGAAATGAGGTCAACAGAGCTCAGCATGTGAACTGGTTTGAGACCTTGAAAGAAAGTTAATTACACTAGCGTGCACATTATGTACTTACATGTAAATCTTAGGGAAAATATTTTCATTTCAGGCTTATCAAACAGTAGCAAAAAAAAAATCATTATTAGCCTATTAGTCTTTCAAGTATTAAGCACAGTGTCCAGGTAGAACTCTGAATTCACAGAGAAAATTGACTCTGGGCTGGGGTGCGTCATTTCCCACTTGGGCTGGGACGTGGTGCTGAGAACCATTAAAGCAAAGGATACCAAGGACAGCGTGGGATATGGGAAGCCACTGGCTGCAGATGGCGTTGATCTGGACCCTGGGGTCTGAATGTCGTGCCTCCCGGGCTCCGAGTTTCAGTCCTAAAGAAGTCACTATTTTGTCGATTTTTTCCTTATCCCTGTAGTAAAAATGAGATGGGAAAAAGGAATACACAGGTATGAACAGGAAGTGGCACCAGAGCTCAATACTAATTTGACGTTATTTTTTCCCCTCATGTGTTGTCTGTCTGTCTGCCTACCTACCCAGCTAATGACAATCAAGAGTATCCTGCACAGCAGAGGCCTCCTATCCTCTGCCCTGACACTTCCAAATGAGCTCCTTTCAAAGCCCCCAGGACAGGGAAAGTAGCTTCATCAGTGAGTGCTAAGAAGTTATGATTCTACTTTGGGAATAACTGAGAAAGGAAATCATAGAAGCACAGCAAGTTTCTCCTTAGCGACTTGAGACGTCAAGCACCCTTTTCTACTACAATGACTACTTTAAAAACTGGGTTTCTAAAAGCAAAGGCCCTTTGTCTTCACCCTTTCACCGCTCCACTTGCACCGCAGAATACTGCAGCTCTGCCCGCCTCTGCCACCCTGTGCTGGAGCCACATGGACTCTGGGCCCTGTCCTCTGCTCGCTGTCTTGAGCTCTCTCAACTTCCTAACACTGCCTGGTCAACGAGGACGGTGCCCAGAGACCATCTTACAAGTCTTACTTTTTCAAGACAGCATCATACAAGCTCCATATATTTTCCAGGATCAACTGCACAAATAAAGGTTTCTTTCCTTTGGCCTGTACAAAAGAATACATGGGTTTAGGGTCCTGAACACTTATTAGGCATTTTCATATTTTACTATCCATATGGCTCATTTCTACTCAGAAATGTTTATTCGACAGTAAGATGAAGGTGGTTGTGAGAACGTTGTAAAGAGTCCATTATCCACATTCTTCAGCTGACCTCTCTTGCCTTCCGGAAAACAATGTGACTGTCTGGATCCTTTATAAGGACCCAGGACGCTATACAAATAATAACTTGTATATGCAACTCCTAAGTCTTTCTGAATTCAACAGGACTATAAATTCCCTTGTGAACTCCCCCATAAGAACTAAAGCTGAAATGATATCTACTAAAGATAATCACAGACAGTATAGGTTTCAGTGACCAAAGGGTCATATATCACATTACCTGATCGGCCTTCATAATCTTCTTAGCCTTCATATTTACGTAATAATCTCCCCACAAAGTTTTCAAAAGAACTTCCTTTTTGATGCCAATTTTTTGACTATAGATTTTGGCAAAGTGTTCGATTCTGGAAGAAAACCAAGAGCTGTTATTGGTAAAAACAATAAACCTGGGTAACCCTTGAGTATTTCTGTGCCATGGGTTGTCCATAATTCTTTCCGTGCATTACAGAAAGACCAGCAACACACCAAGATGTCACACAGGTAGTGCCATCAATTACAGCAAGATGGTTGCCTATGTGCTCAGGTCACTGTGATCAAACACACGCAAATAGGCATCAAACAGGCACATACATCCGTCCTTCCAAAAGCTTGTCTTTTCCCTTTTCATTCTTTTGTGTGTACGTATACTGGTCCTGGGGCGTGGACTCAGGCCCTGGGTGCTATCTCTGAGCTTTTTGCCCAAGGCTAGTACTTTACTATGTGAGCCACAGCTTTGTGGTGATTAATTGGAGGTATGAGTCTCATGGACTCTCCTGCCAGGGCTGGCTTCAAACTGCAATCCTCAGATCTCAGCCTCCTGAATAGCAAGGATTACAGGTGTGAGCACTGGTGCCTGGCTTTTTTTCCCCACAACGTATTTAGTTATTCACAGCAACCAATCCCACTATTATTTGGTACTTTTACTCATTTTACTGTCACTAGTTGCAATTTTTTGGCAGTTCTGGCATTTGAGCTCTGGTCCTCATGCTCGCTAGACAGCTGCAACACCCAAGCATGAATCCAGCCCTTTATACTTCCCTCACTTTTTGAACAGTCTTGTGTTGATGATGTAGTAGACCCGGACTGACAAGGCTGAGGTGACAGGTGGGAACACCACACCCAGCTAATTTTTAACTGGTAGACAGGGGTCCGCTAACCTTCACCCCAGCTGGCATGGAACTCCAATTCTCCCTGCCTCAGTCAGGGTTACAGCATCACAGCATCACTGCACCCAATTAGTCGCAATTTTGAAATAATGACAATCTATAGGACAACCTCTCCATTCTTTAATCTACTTTAAATCATTTCTCCTACAGAGAAATTGAATTTTCAGAAGAGATCTGAGCCACTTTATATTGCAAGACTTCACTAATGTAGTGGTTACCTGTCGGTCACATTCTCTAGCCCTCCAGCCCTCCCAGGGGGCTAGTGTGACTGAAGGATTAGGAAGCTGATACACAAAAACAAACAAACTCTTAGGAAGAGCTTTCTCTGTCCCTTCTTTACAGAATTGGAGCCTCAATCTATTACCCAAAATTTAAGATTATTCTTGCTTTTCTTCACCCTCATATTCTCCCTCTGAGTAGATACTCCTGGATTAAGATATATTAAAAGACATTTAGGTGTCAAACCTAGACTCAACCACTCATCATACTTCACTGGGTCCCAGTACACAAGAGTTCAGAGACCATCTTCTACTTTTCACCTTTTGTGACACCTGCAGCTATCAACTCTGCCTCACCGACAACGCAGAGGAAATGGGAGGCAAGGTCTTCCGTGCTTTCCTTTCCACCATCTTCTCACAGATTAACACACTGACTGCAGAGCGGTGTCCCTCGCCTGTCTCTGGTCTGACCTTTTCTAACATGCGGAGTACTGACTGGTAATAGCAAGGAATGTCAGGAGCTGGGAGGGGCACAGAAGTTACCTTACTCCATCTACTCAAGACTCACACCGTTGCTCCTTCCTGTTTGTTTTAGACTAAGATGAATACAAAACGTTAAAGAGAACTAAGAGATCACTGCAAGAGAGGGACAAGCCCTCCACCTTGTGGTTCAATGGCAGAATGCTCCAATTAGAAAAGCATTAAGTTGGAACTTGTAATAGGACTGAATGATGACTGCATGGGTCATATTTTCGGGGACAGGGTCTCGAATTTGCTATGTAGCCCAGGCTGGCCTGAACTCCCAGATCCTCCAATCCCAGCCTCCTGAGTCCTGGGAGTCTAACTACAGGCATGCCCCACCCTGAGTGACTACCATACTTTGTGAATGGAACAAATTTTTAGAAACCATCATAGCCTGACATTCCTACTTTTCAGATGGGGAAATTGAAGCCCAGAAAGCTGGTAATTCCCAGCTATTAACCATGCAAAGTGCAAATTCTCAGCAGATTCTTAATTTCTGCTTCAACGTATATCCATTGCTTAAATTAAGTTTGGTACAAGCATTCAAATTCCAAGTAGACTGTGGTTGTTCATCACTTATTACAAATAAGAAAACATCTGCTTTATAAACTATTACATATGCTGTCCAAAGCAATATATATAGTTAATTCAGAGGGAATTAGAGAAAAAGTTCCTGAAACAAGGACAAGGAAAGCCAGCAAGTGGGTAGGGCACTCCCAAGGTTTGCATTCTGGTCAGTTTCTGGGCCTTGCTCTTTCGTGCTGATGTGCATTTCCTGTTCTCTCCTGGTCAGTCGGCACTTCTGGTTCTATGTGCAAGACAAACCCCCAGGTACAGTGAATTTGTGACAGGCCCATAATCGCTGATATAAGCCAAATATAGTCATCACTTATACTTGAATAATCAAGGACTAAATATAGTCCTTAATTATACTTGAATAACTGTGGGCCTGCAATGATTTCCTAAGCCTGGGGAACTTGTGGGTGTGATTACACACTTCAGGTGAGGGAGGCTCTCTGGTAGAGAGCTGCGCTGGGTATAAAGGGCCAATCCGGAAAGCTAACAAACTGAGAGACTCCAAGATCATAAACAGGAAGGTTCAATATATTCAAGATGCCAGTTCTTCCCAACTTAATCTGTAGATCCACTGCAACCCCAAAATTTCAGCAAGACATGCTATGATTAAAGGTTTATATACAGGAAGCAAAAGACCCAGACGAGCCAACACAGTATTGAAGGAGAACAAAGCAGCAGTAGTTTGGTAGGACTAACAATAACCAACTTCAAGCTGACCACAGAGTTATAGTCATTAAGACAGTGTGCTTCTGGTAAAGAAAAAAACAGATAAACCAATGAAACAGAAAGAAAACAGACTCGCATCAGTAAGTCAAGTTGCCTTTGACAAAGAGGCAAAGACAGGTTGAAGAAAGACAATCTTCTTAACAGAGGGTGCTGGAGCAACTAAACAGACACACAGAAAGAAAATGAACCTAGACAAAGACCAAACACATCCCAAAATTAAGTCAAAGACTTAGACATAAAACGTGAAGGTGTGAACATGGCAGGTACAACTATCCTTGACTAGTAAGTCTGTAATTATCCTAAAATAAGAAGTTTTGCTGGGTGCAGGTGGCTCATGCCTATAATCCTAGCTACTCAGGAGGCTGAGATCTGAGGATCTCAGTTCAAAGCCAGCCTGAGCAGGAAAGTCCATGAGATTCTTATCTCCAATAAACCACTAGAAAAAGGGAAGTGGGCTGTGGCTCAAGTGGTAGAGCGCTAGCCTTGAACTGAAGAGCTGAGGGACAGCGCCCAGGCCCAGAGTTCAAGCCCCACAACTGACAAAAAAAAAGAAGTTTTAGAGAATCAGATGTATATAAATCCCACAAGAGATTCAATGTGGTTGCTAAAGGATTACCCAAAGCCCCAGCCATCAATTGCGCTGGTAAAGACCACGTTGCCCTGCTCTGGAGAGAAGTACAGGTGGGAATCGTCTGTGTCTTCCAGGCCAGCGCTCCAGTCGTACACCTGTTCCCCGGGCTCAGAGCTTGCATTCACGTGGGATTCTGCCTCCCTCTCTGCTCTTTCTTCTAGGACTTTAGATGTAAAAAGAGTTCCCGTCAGTGCGTTAATCTAGGAGAGATGGCGAAACGTCAGTGTCATTCAGAAGTGCGTGACAGGCTCGGGGAGAAGACACACTGTCTAACCTGAGAGGTTCCAATCATCCTCCCCAACAGGGCTGGGCAAGGTGACATTTACCACCAGTGAATAGCTTACATACGGCAACTCTAACAAAACTTTTTGCAATATTCATCATTTCAACATAAATACGAACATGTGCCAACTTTTTCAGAGCTAGGGAACGGCATCCCTGGATCCTGGTTTTAACATTACTCACTCCTTACATCAGCCGTCTGAAACTCCCACTACTCCATTCAGGCTGCCTTCCCACCTGCAACCCCCAAGCGTTTTCATGTCCACGGAAGTCATCTTACGTTCCACCTCACAGGGACCCTGGAGCTCACTCACAATTCCTGCCTGCAGACCAGTTCTACAGACGGCAGCTGCCCGGCTGGGCTTTCCTGTGCCTCTGCCTATAGGCCTGGGTCCACCTCTGCTATTCCCTCCTTGAACAAATGAACATACTCAAGCTGACTGGCTGCACCACAGCTTCTCACTGTCTTGAAGAACTGCAAAATCCTATGCATGGCATACCAGGCATACTGAAATCTAGGCTTGAAGATTTCTTTCTCCATCTCCTGTCACCACTTATCATGATCCAATCCTTCCTTTAGGGAAGCGCTGTCCGGGCCCCCCTTACCCCTTCTCTTGGGAGTGCCCATCCTCAGGTTCTCTACCTGGCAAGCAGTCACCTTTCTTCCACCTCAAGGTCTGCACTGCAGGATGTTTTCTGACTCATACCGCTACATGGCTCTCCATTATGCCCCCCAGTCACACCCAGGGCGCAGCTCATTGCCCCAAACTATCTCCCCAGCTGTCTCTCTCCTTCACATTCTGTGAGCTCCTGGAACAGAACTGTCCAGTAAATACTTACAATTGCCTGCATTCATTCCTTTGTCATGTATCTAGACAAATACATTCTGAATGAATTCCTGTGTAAGATTCCTTCTGAAGGTAGGTAATAAAACACCACAGAGCCTCCTAGTATTGCTTTACTTATGAACTGAACGACGAACTTTTAACCAAGGGTGCCTACCGTCCACCCTTCGTGGTGACGGGCTGAGGGCCCCAGCATACCAGCGCTGCTGCCTCGGCCACAGGGAGAACCCCAACATGAGGGAAGCGGGAACAACTGCATGGACTTCCGCAAGCCCCTCCCTGACCCCGTTTTTAACAATACTGAAGAGCACTTACCTGTTCTAAAATATTCTTAAGATGAGAATAGGCCTCCTGTGGGGTGAATTTTAGCTCTACTATCAAGCGGTCCAGCTTATTGATCACCAATACTGGACGAATGTTTTCCAGCCAAGCTTGTCGCAGAACAGCCTGGGTCTGATAATAGAAAGAAAAAGGTAAAACTCAGGTGGTGCAATAGTTCTTGAGTGTCAATCAGCACATTCCCACCACCCCACAGGCTATAGCAGGACCAGGAGGCTTCACTGTTTGCACCAAGTATACTTAAGGAACAGTACCAAGGAACTGCAGATGAGAATCACCCTGGCTTATGGGATGGACAGTTTAAGAATGGGTACAGTATGTAAAGAAGGCAAAGACACAGTGGAAATGTGTATCTACAGATGTGCCCTCAGGAGTTAAATGAACGATTTCACAAGGGCCTCCGAGGGGACTAGCACCCTTCCCTGCTCTTGTTTCTCTCTCAGCTTACAGCTACCAGCTTGCCGTTCTGTGGTCAGATGATTTATCCTGTCACCACACAGACCAAGGCTGCCCTTCTCACACTGGGAGTGCAGGAGAGGATGGAAAAGGGTACGTGTGTGTGTGTGCATGTGCACGTGTGTGTGAGCGTGTGTGTGCACGCGTGTGTGCAGAACTGCAGACTTAGAAGACAATTTCTCCTACCCATGACATTCTATCCAAAGTATCACCATCATCATTATCACCATCTCTATCTTAGAAACCCCTTCCGATCTCTAGAGACTTAACTCCATTTCAAACTGGAATATTACCAAATGTGAACTCTAAAGCCAATTTTGTAAATGTCAGGACAGTCTACAACAGCGCCCAGTAGTACAGTCTCCTCTTTTCCCCACCTTCTCCAGCCAGGCAACTCTCTCACCGCACGCCGTTACCTGTGGGCAGACCCCTTCCACAGCGTCCACCACGATGATGCAGCCATCACAAATCCGGACAGCGGTTGACACTTCAGAAGAGAAATCCACATGCCCGGGGGAGTCTATCAGATTAATCAGGTACTCCTCGCCACCTGGAGTAACATTGCAAAGCATGCCTTTTCAGCTGCATGTACTTACAACGTGTTTTCCCTAGTGTTCTAGAACAAAGGAGCTTCTAAGACAAGTCTGAATACACTCTTAGTGAGGGCACCCTTCTAATTCCTCCCACTGACAGCAGCTGTGTCAAAGGTTTGAGGATAGCACCACTCTAATGCTTAGCACTTCCTAGGAGGTGTGTGAGCCAAGAACTAGGATCTAATCACACAGCATTTAATCCTTATAACCCTATGTGATAATACTATTCATTCTCATGCTATTAACTACAAAATTGAGACTCAAAGAAACCAATGCTTGTGGGGCTTAGGAGTTCAAGTGTGAAGCTGCTCAAATGGTCACCAAGCTGGGTGCCCGTGGCTCACACCTGTAAGCCTACCTATTTAGAAAGCTGAGACCAGAGGATAGTAGTTCAAAGCCAACCCAAGCAGGGAAGTCCACGAGAGACTCTTATCTCCAAAAAGCCAGCTTTGGCTCGTGTGGTAGAACACTAGCCTTGAGCACAAAACCCATGCCAAGTTCCAGCCATAGTACTGGCACATACACAAGAAATTTAATAATAATTAAAAAAAAAACCCAAATGCCCATTTAAGAAGACAAGAGAGAGCAGCTGGCCAAGTTCCTCTTCTAAGTTCTGAGGCTGTGAACCTGCTGAATCAGATTCAGACCCCCATCACTGAAGGAGCAGTCACCACGTGCTAGCCATGTGCTGTGTGTACTCATGTTTATGCTCCCCTTCGACAGTCCTGACAAGGGGACGGCCCTCAGACAAGGACCAGGCCCCACCTCACTGTCTGGGTTAGCACTGAAGTCCACACATCCCATCAAAGCAGAACAACTGGCTAGCACAGGTTAGAGATTTCATACCACGATACCCCAGTAGTAACAATGTTACCCCCATGATTGCTAACTTCACAGGGCTTTGATCTTAGGGCCTCACTTCACTGTCCCCCTTGGATGTGGGTTATTTTCCAGATAGGGTATGCTTTATGCCCAGGCTGCCCTGCAATTCCAACCTCCTATTTAGCCTTTATCACCACAATAACAGATATATGCCACGCCCAGCTGCTGGCTGAGCTAGACCTCGAGGTGCTGGCTTCAAACTGTGAGCCACAGATGTCTGCCTCCATGTAGCTAGCTGTAACAGGACTGAACCACCACCACGTGCAGACCATTGCTGTTAACTCTGACTTTATTATGTTTAAAGGTAAACTACTGGAATATCCACATACAGTTATTTTATTTTGTTCCTCCCTTCACTGCTTACTGATGTTAGCTTACTTAAGAGTTACTATGGTGCTGAATGGACCATTTAAAAGAGTCTCCTGACTTGCTCATGACCTCGGTGACATGACCATGACAGTGTGGAGACTGCCATGGACGGCAAAGCAGCTGCTACCATTAGTGCCATGTTACAAAGCAAGTGACACTAGGGATCTTTCTCAAGGACATTCTGCTAGAACTGAACTCAGAGCTTAACTGTCTTAAGACAAAATTCAAATTGGCAGAAGTTCAAGCTCTCTAACTGCAAAGACCATGCCTTTAAGCACTCCCCACAGCCTGGCAGTAAATGCTATCCCATCTGCCACCATCTCACAGGTAGTGAACTCCTGAAGGAGCAGGGGAAGGGTTCCGAAGTGCGCCGGTGGGAAAGATCACCATCTGTTAGGACTAGGCTGCCTGGCTCAGTGCCACTGCCCCTGGCCTCAAGGCCTTTCCAGGAAAACTTTATAAGGAATGAGGCTTGAGGGCACCGAGCACAGAAGGCCCAGCCAAAGGTAACCACGGACATCCCCAAAGAACACCATGTCAAATAACCAGGGCCTCGAAGCAATGGCCCGCTTGGGTGGAGCCTCCCACAGATCCCAAAACAGCAGCTTCACTGAAAGGTAGCAGGACACAGTCTCCAAAACAAAGGGCCTTGACGTATGCTCAAGTGGTAGCATTCTTGCCATGGGTAAAGGTCCAGGATCAGAAAAAGAAAGAAAGGAAGGAAGGAAGGAAGGAAGGAAGGAAGGAAGGAAGGAAGGAAGGAAGGAAGGAAGGAAGAGGGAAGGAGCACAGGAAAGCAGTATCTTCAGAAGACAGCAGGCCAGAGGAGTGAACATCAATGTAAAGATCCTGTGGATGTGGGGATATTTACCTAGGAAGATCTTTAGCCTCAAGTTTGGTACGAACAAGAAACATAATGTATTACACCTTAACAATTCCAGATTGTGTGGTTTATGTCTTGGGCCGAAACTATAGCCAACAGGTGTGGGAAATACTGGCCCCAGGACCACAAGGCACCCCCCACCTTGGTGGGTTAGAGCTGCTACACGAAGAAATTAGTTGAGGGAGACCTGGATCGACCGACTTCATACAGACGGACTTCAGCAAATGGACTGGAAATGCCAATGACTTGGTTCCAAGAACCTGCTCTCACAGAGGGAAAATAAGGACAAGCCCATCTCACAGGGGTATGCAGACCAAGCGCCATACATGAGACACCCAGCTTGGAATTAAACCCTCAGGGCCCCAGTACTTGGTCCTGGCACCAACTGAAAGCCTCACAAAGTAAAGCCTTTACTGTCCTGAGAGGACAAAACCTGACCTTCCAGTCAAACGAGGGATTCTGTCCCAAGGAGTAGCCGGGAGCACAGGTCACGTCCACACAGTCGGAAGCAAAGGGTGGCTACGGCCCAGGGGAGGAGGACCGTGCTGGTCCACACTGGCCTGTGTGCCGGGCGACAGGGTGTCCTCTGAGAGTGGGCCAGAGAGCCCAGCGCCGAAACCAGCTCTCCACCTGCCCACCACCAGGCTTCAATTTGGTATCGGTGCAGAAAACTGCTCCATCATTCCTCCCTGGGCTTGGAGTAAAACGATTGCAGGTGGTGGCACCGGGTGAGTCCAGAGCGCCACTGAAGTGGGTTATTTGAGAGTCAATACTCCTGAGGTTTCTAGGTGACACTAAAGCTCACTACATTTCATTGTGTCTGGCAGCATTTCACAATTTTCAAAAAGTTGCCAACATTGGGCTGGGAAGGTGGCTCAGTGGTAGAGCGCTTGCCTTGCATGCCTGAGGCCCTGGGTTCGATTCCTCAGCACCACATAAGCAAAAAGGAAAAAAGCTGGAAGTGGCGCTGTGGCTCAATGGTAGAGTGGTAGCCTTGAGCTGAAGAGCTGAGGGACAGCGCCCAGGCCCAGAGTTCAGGCCCCACAACCGGACCCAAAAAAAAAAAAAAAAAGTTGCCAACATTTGAGAAATCACACCAAATCCTAAAGATGTAAACTCCCACAGGGCATCAATAGCTGCACCGGGACTGAGCTGGAGTGAGGGTCCCGCCCTCACCCTGGCTGGTGGTAAACCCTACGTCTCACCAGGACTACCTCAGGTATCAGCATCATTGAGAACATCTTACTTGTTAATCATATTGGACAAGTGTTAGAGTAAACTAACATTTGCACATACAAAATTACACATAAAAAATACATATAAAAACTGAGAGACACGAACTGGCAGTAAAACAGTGGTTTGTTTCATTCTGGTGTTTTAGTAAATGTCCTATAATGAAGCCTACTGGATTCTTCTAGACAAGTATAAACTGATAAATTTGTTTTTAAGATTTAAAGAAATCAGTTAGAATGAGGTACAGTGCAGATGACTGTCATTCCAGTCACTCAGGAGACAGAGGTCAGGACTGCGGTGAAGCCAGCCCAGCTGGGCCTGGTAAAACATAGCTGGCATTCAAACTACAAGGATATGCGTAAAGAGGAAGATTTTAGGCCAGACTAGACTGGCAAAAAGTGACACCATACTTACAAAACAACCAGCAGAAGCTAAAGATGTGATTCAAGTGGTAGAGTAACTAGCTAGCAAGTGAGGCCCCAAGTTCAAACTCTCCAGTTCTAAGGATGGGGGATGACTGGCCAGTCCAGGAGACCAATCACGGGTAAAGCCTCTGTAATGGACTGGTAGGAAGGAAAGCTCACAAAAGGAGCAAAGCAGGAAAAGTAGAAATAAGATGAAGGAATGGGCAGGCTAGGGGAGGGTATGAAGATGGGGAGTTGACAAAGGCTACAGACAGGCACACAGGATAGGAACCTTTGGACACCCACCAACTTTTCCTGATGTGCTCTCTAGGAACAGATTTAAAACCTGGCTACAACGGTTCTAGGATTTGTTACTCCAGTAACTCATTCTTGGTGCTCCTAAGTATCGTCCCCAGAATAATTGTGTACATACTCTTTCAATAAGCTACTGTGTTGGGAGCCAACAGTAAAGTTTCAAGGTCATCTTGGCCCCGGTGCTCACTTGAAGGCACGTACAAGGAGCTGGCTTACTTAAAAAACACCAGGTGCTGGCGATTGCTTTGCTATGTCTGCAGAGTTTGTTTTACTTTCTACCAGCTGACCTTGTCTTGTTTTACTGCACTGTTTTTACTGAAATTTCCCTTGTTTTTCTGGGCTACTGTAGCCTTATGTTACCTCTTGACTTTAGGGAAAGTTAAAAATGAACGGGGCTGCAGTCGTGAGCTGCAGACCTCCGATCCCATCCTTTGTCTTATGTCTTTATTTTTCCGTAACCTTGCCCCCTAATTCAGGATTCCCTTTCGTTGCCGGCAGGCTCCGGCACTACTGCACCTCAAACTAAGCTCCAATCTCTGTCCTACAAACCCAAGGAAGGGGTGAGCTGCGGAGGCCAGAGTCTGAGCAGTCAATTTCCAGGGTCCGTGGACATACCCCCAACAACACCATACCTGAAAGACAAGTCAATTCTAACTGCGGAGGTCAACTGGGTAAACTTTTTTTTCCCAGTCCTTGGGTTTGAACTCAGTGCCTGGGCTCTGTCCCTGAGCCTCTCTGCTTAAGGCTAGTGCTCTCCCACTTGAGCCACAGCTCCACTTCTGGTTTCTTCTGTCTATATGGTACGGAGGAATCGAACCCAGGGCTTCATGCATGTTATACAAGCACTCTACCACTGAGCCACATTCCCAGCTCTCACTGGGTGAATTTGACGGCATACCAATTGGCCTTGAATAACGTAGTCTAAACAGGAGACAAGGATGACTAGAGACAAAATGCAGAGCCCAGCAACTACAACCAACCAGGAAGAATCGTCCAGTTAACATAATATAAATACAGAAGATTAAAGGCTTCAATTCACTGAGAAAACAGAGATCATCAACTACCTTCTCTGGATATACATCACAATATATAATATTAAGGAGACGTACTTTACAATACGAGAGGAATTTAATAAAGCATTAGGGAATTCATGTGACTAATAGCTTTTGATTTGGTACAAAAACAGTTTTGAGACTGCTACCAAAAAGAATATCTACACCCCATATACAGTGTGTCCCTTGGTACCAGTGCCAGACTCAACACTGAGAAGGATGAACCACGGGTCAGTTCACTAGGAAACAAGTCTTTATTGTTTTCATCAAGTTATAAAAATATACATTTTTGTGCAGTTTTTTTTTTCAACAGAACAAAGTAAATATTCTGAAAAGTACAATGTTGCCACAGTCCAGTTAGTTCAGTTCCTGGAGAAGGCACTGCTAAAGTTGCTATGTGCCTTTCCAACACCTTTATCTACACACGTCTTAAACCACTCCTATCTTACACAAAAATACTCTGCTACTGCTTCTTGGTCTCTCAACACACTCTTCTGTATAATTACACACAGATGAGGCATTTAACGGCTACATAATACTTCACAGCATGCGCATGTTCATTTACTTAGCCATTCTTCCACTAGCATTTATGTGGTTGGCTGTTTTCTGAGAGTAATAAATTTTTGGTGAGCATCAGTGAACATTATCTCACACACTTATCCACTACACTTCTATTAGAGAATCCCTAGTGTTACTATCTTAATTCAGGGACGGCAGGCTACTACGACAATGGCAACGCCACATCTACTGTGCAGGCCATGGGGCAGAACACGCATGCCTCCAGCAAATGCAACACTAAGGGTGAGCCGGCCACGTCCCAGGGCTCTTGACTCCTGGTGAAGAATCCACAGGTGTGACCTGCCAGTTCTTCTGCCCTCCAGAGGTCCCCATCTGCATCCAGGCCTGGTCAGCCTGACTCTGACAATACACTATCTGGAGAGGCCAGAATGAAATACATGGAGCATAAAGAAACTGAAGCAAGCAATTAATTCAGAAAGAGAAGATGCCTTGAAGATGGAAAATTCCTTTCCTCAAACACAGGCTGGTTTACCTTGGGCGAAATGTAGTGAGATGGCGCTGGACTTCATGGTGATCCCCCGGACCTGCTCGTCCTCCCTGCTGTCCAGGTACCGCAACTGGAAAGACACAACAGCTGCACCCTCACTTCCCAAGAACCAGACGGACCCTACAGAGCTTCTGGAAAGACAACAGCTGCACCCTCATTCCCAAAGAACCAGACGGACCCTACAGAGCTGCTTGTTTTTCACTAGGGACAGAGGCTGAGAAGGACAGCCAGCTGAGGGAGAGTACACCGTATCACAATGATGGATCAGTAACCAACACTGTTAAGGGCCAGTCCACATTAGCTCACTCTTTTAAGTATTACAAGTGTCTACAATTTTTGGTTTTTTGCTATCATTCACTGATCCTTTCTAGAAAATAGTCCATATTTCATTACTTTACTATTCTTTCATCCTTTTTGGTTATTTTATTCCTTCTAACTTCTCTAGTACAGAAAATAAAAGCGCTCCATTACTATACTCAACCTTGAGCTAGCTCCCTAAGGCAAATGATCCCAGTGCCATTCTACCTGTACATCTCCTGTCTCTACGCTGCTGATTCTACCTGCTTCTCCATCTCCTTGTCCTACCATTCCTGGTTAACTAGTAAATCTGCTGATTAAATCCTAGATTATCTGAGATTCAGTAAGGACAGGAACATCTCTTTATTTTTCTACTGCTAAGTTAATTATTCCATGCCCTTCCAACTCACAGTAGAAACAAAAATCTTTTAAATTTATTTTGAAAGCACTATATTCATTATGACAGTTGAGCTTAAGAATCCATCCTCTGGGGTCTAGGAAGGTGGCTCAGTGGTAGAGCGCTTGCCTTGCATGCATGAGGCCCTGGGTTCGATTCCTCAGCACCACATAAACAAAAAAGAAAAAAGCTGGAAGTGGTGCTGTGGCTTAAGTGGTAGAGTGCTAGCCTTGAGCTGAAGAGCTGAGGGGCAGCACCCAGGCCCAGAATCCTCCTCTGGTACTTGGAACTCTGAACTCTAGTCTTCCAGGCGTGGTGTCCCTATCAGCATGCTTTCTCTCCCAGGAGTCCCTGGACAAATGCGTCCTTCTAATTATATACACCACACAAATTAATGTTTATCCAAATGATTTCCCATCACTTGATGGCTTCAAACCACCCAACTCACCTTGTTTCTCTGAAATTTCTCTCAATCATTTAACTTGTACACATTCACCCTTGTACGTTACTAATATATACCAGCACAAAGCAATGCCCAGATATCGTTATCTCAGTATCGACTTTAACTAGCTTAATAGAAGGGCAGTTTCTCAGCCGTAAGAACATTTTAGAATTTTTTTAGATAATTAAAGAACACAAAAAGTGGCTCCAATATTCCAACAAGTATTCATCAAATGTAACAACATACCTTGCCTGCCAGGCGGCTGGAGATGATTCCATTGCTAGATATAAGACAATCAGCAAGAGTAGTTTTTCCTGTTAAAAATAACATTAAAAATCTGTCTTTTTAAAGGGGTTGGTGGGCTGACTGACCTATGGATTTAACGTCCTGTCGTAAGAATTTGTTAAGTTTTACAGTCTTTTGTACAGAACACTACCCAGAAGGACATGGATAGGGTACTCTCATCTTGTGGAGCTCATTAGCCTCATCTGAGTTTTCTAGAATACCAGTTTAACACCATTTTAAGTTTGTTTTGCACACACAGAGACCGATTTTAAAGAGCACAAAACTATTTTCAGACCTCATGTCCTCAAAATGTGTGCAATATAACCCCACAAACTCACTGAAGAGCAGAGCTGGTCAGTGATTTGTACAGAAACTCATTCTCAGCTGGCTTCACCTGTAAAGGACCCATTATCTCTCTCTCCCAGTTCCCATACTCCAGTGTTTATACCAGTGGCCAAGGGCCTACCACCTCCCCTGTTCAATCCACCCCAAGCTCTTCAACTTGTCTGATCTAATCTACCACTTGATTATACTATTACCCTGCTTTATTCTTTCCCTAATGGCTCCCTACAACCTAATAAAAATGTTAGCAACCACATTCACAATAAAGTATTTACATTCTTGCCAAGGGATTCTCACTACCATCACGTTTAATCCTTACAGACTAAAAGGTAGCTGCGATTTCAGTTCTACTTTACACATGCTATACATTGTAGTTGAAAAATGTAAACTTCAAAATGGGACTTTTAAACTCAAGTTGTCTGACTGCAGAGCTAGAGCACATGGCCTCTTTATTCCACTCATCCAGTCCAACGGCAGGGCAGTGGCTACGGGAAGGAAGAAGCCGACTCAGCGTGAATAACGCTACAGTTACTACACAGTCTGTCTGAGGTATCTCTGCCCTGGGTCCCGGGCTTCTCTCCTCCCTCCCCTGCAGCTTACAATGATGCCCCATCTGTCTTCCTGAGCCCCTGTTGGTGGAGCATCCCCAACGTTAACTACTCTGACACCTTTCCTAACCCACCCTAAAGCTCAGTCATTGAGTTCTTCCAATGCTTACAATCCACATTTCTCTCATATATCTGACCCAGCCCTCTGTCACCCCTAAATGCTCCTCTAGGATTGGGGAGCAAGGCACTCACAAAAGTCTGCCTCCTGATAAACCTAACAAAAGACTTCAAACTTAGCAGCTTTCCCACAAATGCCTGAGGAGTTAAATAAAATTCTATTCAAAGGCCTGGGGCGTGGTTACCAGAACTATGGGGATTTTGCACACAAAGCCATTTAAGAAATGTGCACAATTTAACAAAACATCGAGTTCTGGTTTAAACCTAGGCACGCTCTATAGGAGAACTCTAAACCTTAGTTCACCACGCTCACTTCGGTTGAGCGCAGGGCCACAGACTGGCTTCGGAACAAGCAGCCTCCAGCGCCCCAGCCCAGCCATTAAGAGCCGCAGGGACACACCTCCTCCCGCGAAGGAGACGAGGCGTGTAGACGAGCTGCTTACCGTGGTCGACGTGAGCCAAGACACAGATGTTCCTGATGTTGGCGGCGTTCTTCTGCAGCTGGACCGTCTTAGCCACGCTATTGAGCACCATGGTTACGGACCTCCGTGACTAGTTGTTAAACAGGTGTGACGAGTGACTCAGGGCTGTCGCTCAACTGCTCCGACCCCTGACCCCTGAAACCGAAACGTTTATTGCTGGGCAGGACGCAGCCTGAAAGTCAGGGAGCAGGGACGAGTCTGCTCGTCCAGGAAGGCGGGGCGGCGGGGAAGCTTCAGG